GAAGTATATTTCAGGAACTGCAGCGCAGAAACTGCGTTGGCCTGCAAACTGAACCTGCGGCAGTTCGCACATGGATTTACACGACTCGTAAAGGGATTGGACATAGTGATGGAAAATCCGCTTGCCGGTGATGGTGTCAAGACCACTACTTGGGTAATAAGAGAACTAATGCGTATGTCTCTTGGCAGAAAACGAAGACATGTTGAAAATTCAAGCGAGGAACCAGTCGATTCGCATTTAAATAACTAATGTAGTGTGGAATGAATCCCATTTGACTTTTTTTCGTGATAAACTGCAAACTCGGTCTAATGCCGGCAGGATTTGAGAGGTTGGAGAAGGAGGTGTGAAGTGACTTTAGTAGTGACGAAATCACTGGAAATGGAAGAAAATTGAATTTTAAGAACATGTACTTATAGGAAATCATCTCACACAGTCCCGTATAATTCACTGTTAGTGTTAAAAGTATTATCAGGCTCTTCGATTGTGTTATCAGATTTTTTCGATGAAATAAAGAGGAATATGCTTTCCTCTTTGCAATGCAAATTGTGCATGTGTTAGTAGTAGGTTGAGCAATGTCTGTATCACAAACAACGGTCAGCCTACCACAAACACATGCATAAACCCGTTATATAACGTTTTTCCCGCTCAGGTATTACACAAAGCGCATATATTACATTTTTATTCGGATATTAAACAACGTGCAAACATTATAACATTTTTTTTTTTTCACTCAGATATTACACAAAATGCAGATATTATAACATTTTCTATTCGGATACTACACAAATGCAGATATTACATATTACGATGACTGAAAGTGCTCTATGCTCCATCTGATTTGTATAATATCTGAATTTTATAAATGTGTGAGTCGAAAGGGTACTCAATACACAGTAAAAAGTTCGCGAATATGTGGCAGTAATACATGAGAACATTTGTATAGTACATGAAGTGGGAATTTTCTGTATGCTTTTTTATTAAGGCCAGTTGGTATTTTCGCAATTGTCAACATGAGAAGAATAACAAGTGCATTAAATTCAAAAAAAGAAGAAAAATCTCAGACCATTTTTCGTTCTGCCAGTACTTTCGCAATCACTAATAGCACATACATTGAAGAACTGAAAAGCGTTCCAAGAATGAACAAGATTGATACTAAACTAACAATCGGTAGAACCACTGACATGCGATCATAAGTTGAGTGAGCGCAGCAATGTCCCGTCTTACTGTGACGAGATATTTGCCCTTCACCGCTTTCTGTCCACAAACCATCACTCTTAAGGTGCTTCAAGCACCAGCATTATTTCAGCACAGTCGAGATATTCGTCCCAAAATCGCACAAAGCACGCATTAAGTGAAGTCGAAGAGAGGCATCTTAAACCCGTACAGTCTTCTCAGTGAAGCAATAAATTGTACGAATTCTTTCCTTGGCTGGCTCAAAATTTGACTGCATCGACAAGGTTGAGTAATAAAACATTAGCGCATGTTGGTACTTTTCCTGCAATTCATCAATAACTTGGCAAAACTCCTCTCGAAAAACTCTGCACTGACCCCGAAATTAATTTGGTCAAGTTTCCGATCAAGAACGAGACGACCAGAACTGGGAAGCCTGGACTGTAACTACCCTGCGATTTGTCCCATGATCTGAGCTGTTGCTACCCAAAGCGCCTCCGGACATAATCTAGTAATATTAAAAAAAAGCATTTCCGACACATGCGGTGATTACAGGAATTATTTAGTCGATGCGTCTGGTTACAAACTCGAAAGTAGATAAAACAATACCGGTAATAATCACATTAAAAAAAAATAATGCTTACTAAAGAGGAGTATATATTCGCAAGAGTGAAATGTATTGCAACCAACTTCGGCGAAATAGCCAACGCAGAACTACCAGCAATTAACGCACTATGCAGAAGCCCGGCTTGCTGATATATATTTGCCATACTCACCAAAGCAACATCCTAAAAGACGTTCACAAACCTCGAAAAATCACTGACAGACAGCAAAACCTCAGTGAATCACGCTCAACATATGCTGCGTCTCGAAAGCACTGGAAATCCACATTAAATTTCGGACGAGTGGGACAAATTTTTAAAAAATTATTTCACTGTATTGCTGAGAAAACTCCAGCTGCAGCAGTAGTTCAGCTTTCAAAAAAATAAGTAAAGAAGCAGAAACCTACACTGACAGTCCGAGCGGTCTTGGTATCCTTGATACAAAAAAAAAAGCTCGGAAAAATTGTCTAACTTCTACTGGCAAAAATGCTTAAATTATATAAGAGAAAATGTATCAACCAAAAACACACTATCTCGAAAAAAATGCTTAGTTTTTATAAAAAAATTTGTCAGTTTCCAACCTAAAGCATACAACATTGTCTGGGCATTGTCCCTTACAGTGCAATGGTGATGTTGTGATTAAAAAAAAATAATAAACGATTACCCTCATATCAGGTGGAGCGGTATTCAGAGAATGTCTGAGACACTTCAAAGCATTCACAGCGTCACCTTTCACTCTCCAGTAGAGCGCTGAAGCCGTTGACAACGCCCAGTGAACATCGTTATCTTTTCCTGAAAATGCACTCTGACCAACTACTCTCACTCTCTCATTTTTGAGTAGTGAAAACAAATGGATTCGGTATTCTCATTTACGTACGCAAAAAAAAAGTGCTTTAGTTAAAACGCTGTAAATCGTAAACAGCTGACAATAAAATTTTAAAACTGAATTTATGCAAAAAAAAAAATTTCATCAGCACGAGTGCCACTTCAAGTGGCGATATATTCGATACAGCTAATACTCCACTGTTCTCCTACAGGGCCAAACAAAGCAACTTACAACCGATTTTTCATACTGGCTAAGAAAAAAGTGTGATTTTCCACAAATTTATTGGAAGCAGTTTGTCAAATCCCTCGACGGAAAACAACAAAATCGTAAAGTGCATATCAAGAAGTTCATTTCCCCTCGGGGCTGCATGTTTTCAGACAAGATTCATAGCAGCATCTCACCTTTAAGCTGCCGATTCGCCTCCACAGACTGCGCCAAAAAGCGAGCAAAATATAAAGGCCTGCTTGTTTTTTGTTTTATATTATCTTTATGCCTCGGCGAGCATTTTGCGTTTTGCTGTAGCGGTATAACTCTTACAGCATTATCAACTACTGTAAACGCTGACAGAACTCTGCACCGCTCAACAGTAGTCAAACAAAATACGGCACAAAGTCTCGACGTGTTTGGTGCCGCCGGACTTTAGACTCTCTCACACTTCAACACTGCTTAATCTGTTGCCACTGCAACACCACGACAACAAATCAAAGATCATTAGGAAATAACTGGTCAACGAACGGGCTGCCCGTGCGAAGATGTATTTTTTGCATAGCTTCCCGCAATTTTTGCCGCTACCGGCATCGGTTTTTTTCAGCAAATGCTTCTAGCTAAACAAATTAAGACTGGCCGCCGGAACTGGCAGCCAGTCTTAATTTCCGCTTTCTAGCTTTCCTGGCTCCTAAAAATAAAGTCTTCTAGCTTTTCAGGTTCTCGAGTTAGCAACTTACCCGAAAAAAACTTGAGCCCGAACGCGGATACCACACGCTTACCCGGCGGCTGGTTTTGAGCTCATTAATACCTACTTAATATGGGGAACATCCTCTTAAGATTTCAGCTTTGAAGCTTCTCAGATCCCCGAGTTATCAACTTATCCGAAAAAAATTTTGCCAGGCCAGTTCGCGGACACCACGCTTACCCCGGGGCTGGGTTTGAACCCATTAATACCTACTCGGACGGGGAACATTCTCTTAAAATTTCAGCCCCCAAGGGATTCTGGTTCCCGAGTTAGCAGCTTACCCGTAAAAAACTTTGGCGAGCTCTTATGTGGGAACCACGCGGGTGAGACCGCCCACTTCGGAGATGAGGGCTCGTACATGCAGATTAAGTTCCTCAAGTTTCAGCCTCGTAACTTTTGTGGGTCTCGAGTTGAAAAGTCGATAGAGACGCGCAGCGCACACAGACACATACACACACAGACAACCTCTCGTCAATATGCGTTTTCCGCATTGTATAGCTGCAAAAAGCGCAAAAAAAAGGTACGACCCGCATGGAGCGAAAACTGACCGCCATTTTTCTGCATTAATTTGGCAGATCTATTCAATAATGTAAATTTACTTCGAAATACATTATTTGAAAGAAAAAAAGAATGAAGAAATTTGTGTCTATTTAAATCAGTTTGAAGTCTTTGAATAGCTTTACCAAAATTTTTAAATGGTCAAAGGAAATGATGATGGATTTCGGTTTTAAGCTCATCAGGCTCTTTATCATTTAAACGAGGGTAATTCCGCTGTGTTACAAAACCCTGCATACTTCAATAACGCGTTCTTCAGTGACAAGGAGGACTAATATTTTTAACAATTAGCTACCGCAAAATTTCTCCGAAAAAATAAGCGGTACCAACCGTTAAGAAAAGACGATACCATTGCATTTTTCAATCTTTTGGCAACCATTTCGACTCGTTCCTTTTCATTTCCCAATTTCAGAAATGCCTGCAAATGCCCTGTTGGATAAAGTTCCAATCATAAATGTGAGGCACACTGTTTATACCACTGAACAATCGCAAGAAAATCTTTTAGAAGAAAGAGCAGCATTAGTTTCTGCAAATCTTTTCCCTCACAGCACTCAATAAATCGGTACAAAAGTGGCAATTTCACAGACTCAATTGAGTTTGAAAGATCTGAAAGACTGACAGCGATTTGCCAACGCTCGAAAAGTGGGCAGGAGATTACTTTAAAGACTACAGGACTGTTTGGAGTAATCTCATACCCACTTTTCCAGCGTTGGCAAATCACTTTCAGTGTTTCAGATCTTTCAAACTCAAATGGCACGGAAGATTTGAAAAACGATCTCGCAGGACCTGCTTCGTGATTTAGGGGGAAAAAAAGCAGATGTGATAACAAAAAAAGAAAAAGAACGGACGAATACTATCTGTTTGTTATGCACTGAAAAAAAAAACGACAAAAAAATCAAGGCCATACATCAGTGAGTGCTTTTTCCGGTTTGTAGTAAATAAACTGGCTTCGAAGATGAGAAGCTGGCAGATGATCCAACGTGAGCAATGGTGACGGTGCATTCAGTTCTGGACAAACTGGCTCAAAATTTTCACTCAAATCCACAGGATCTCTAAAATCAATAAACTTCGCCAGGTTCACTCCTTTAGCTGTTACAGATAGCCATGTTGATGTACTCTGCTCTCGAAGCATTGCTAAACTCTGAAATTTACACCTGCTTTTAATAAAAATCAGTAATGTGGAACACGTACTTTGTAAACCTGGATTTCATAGTGACACACGTTCCGCCACGGATTCTACTGGCAGCCTCTCCATGGCTGCTGTAATCGTAATCGTAAGTGTGTAACCAGTTTTCGTTGTCTCATACGCAAACGCTACCACCTCTACTCTTATGTAATATGTTAATCCACTTACTAGGCATCGGAGGCAATTTATTCAGATAGGTAACAAAACGAAATGCCCTGAGCCTTGAAACAGCGAAGAAAATAAAGCAAAATAATATTCAGAGGATTACTTTTTCGGATCTCCCTTGAGTTACCCGTCTCAACGGATACACATAGCCAACAGGAAGTGAAAATGGACTTATGCGTTCGCTTAATCTGGCAAATCAAGAAATGAGCACTATTTTTATGTCCGACAGTCAGTATGTACAACTCAGTTTATAAAAGACAAACAATGTTTTGGAATTATCTTTCAAAAGTTAGTCCTCTTCAGACGCACCATCCATTATCCAGAGATGCCGAAGAGGGCAACTTAGAGACTGTTCTAGAACAGGTAGGAGGATGCTGTGGGAATTTTTTTCAATTAGACCAACCTCGACAGTGCAAACTAACTACTCAACACCTGAGTGTGAAGTAACACGGCAACGAAAGTGCCCCGAAAAGTCGAAATGAAAAACTATCTCGCTCGGCATCAAGCTACTTGGGGTGCTACAGAGCAGCACACAGTGTGCGAAATGACTCGTGATAGGTGCAGTGACTGAGGCAGTAAAAAGCTAAACCTGCTTAATGCACGCTTCAAAGAAAGCAGAGGAAGAATAAATAAGCAGAACTGCTTCTGATTTTTAAAAGCAAAACAGCCCATTTGTGGAAAGGGCAGCCATCATTCAACTTTTATATCAAATTAATAAAAAACCAACCATTTTCGTATTCGCACAGAAATTTGTGTTAGAAGCACGGGAAACAGGCAGTGGCATATGGAGAAGACCGGCCCTTACTTGTTCTTTTGAAGGTAACGGCAATATCTGTAACACTCAGAATTTAATCCCTCTGAAGAAATCTAAGACTCAGCACACAATCAAAGAGCAAAAGAAATGTGCTGAGGTAAAAAAGTCGCAGTGAATTTACAACAAATTGAAAAGATAATAACTTCTCAACGGCATTTTTAAAAAAAAGTTCAAGATACATCAGGAAGCGGAATGTCGAAAGCAATCATTCTTCTTCGTTCGGGAACATCTGATGACGTTAACTGCCACTGAAAAAACGTTCAACTGGACTTTTCAGCTATGGCAAACATACTTTAAAATACAAATACTTGCGAATTGTGACACTTCGCACAGTCTTCATGAATGAGCTTAAATTTAATAAATTGATTGTGTTTCAAAATTTTAAACCCCCAACTGTGCAAAACACTAAAACTATTTTGAATTTTCTCTATGCTTTGCGTACTATAATTTCTATACGGAAATGGATCAGAGAAACACAGAAAGCAATGGATTTCAGACTTAACAGTGGTTACAGCAAAAAAGAAGGAATTCACCTCACGCATCATAAGCAGCCACACACAGAGGTGGCAATACTTGTATACGGTTTGCTTCAAATAAAGCAAAAGTCTGTTTACCTCAGGAACAACAATTTTATCTACAGGCACACTTTCTTCCCACGACTCCAGAACTGCTTTCGTCTCGTTTGTTTCTGCGTACACTACCTGAATTTTGTACACTGATTCAACAGTATTCTTGTAACTCTCTTGCGTGACCATTTTCCCAACAAATTCTATTAAAATTTTTATGAAATAGTAAAGCATTAAGGAGCTCAACAGAAAAAATGTATAAAAGATCTATCGATGAAGAAAACCTCGCTTTGAAAAAACCGTTCTATTGATGGGGCGGTCATCTTCTGTATTTTCTGAAGACTTTCATCGCCTCCGTAGTCGAGTGGAATCTAGAAATTGTTACCGCAAAGTTCAATGACTTAACATTAAACTGACTTGCATTGGTTTTGAACTTTAATGCTTTTCAAACTTCATATTCAAATCCGTTAATTTGTTTTTAGTTATTCTAATCAAAAGAATAAATTTTCAAATTGTTCAGAGGCGTCAAAACTAAGTGCCCGAAAAAATTAACCAAAATTCGAGTTGCCAAAAAAGAGTCACATTACAGGCAAATTTAACTCAAAATGGAGGATACAAAGACACGAGCAGTTTTGCATACTATCACGCATTGCTTGTATGTAAGAAACAAAAAAAAAAATTGCAGGAAATTTTTTCAAAAAAAAAAACAAAAAGCAGTTTAAATAAACCTCATCTAAAGAGTCAGCGTCTGACTTCTGCACAGTAGTCCTAGTTTGCTGTGTTAGCCGCTCCTGCACTTTATTTACTTCTGAAAACAAACAATCACTGGCCAGAAATGAAGAACAGTATGCATGCAAAGAAAGAGAACTGAGACTATGCCAGACATGTTAACCCTTTTGCGTGCATGAATGATTACTGGCGCTGAAGCGTAATGAGGATAACTTAGAGCTCGAAGGTTTGGCTCATGTCATCAATGTCCCTGACGAAAACATCAGAAACCATGCCGTCCTAGAAGTTGTTTTCGTGACCCACACTTATCTTAAATTTCATGTTTGGCATAGTGTAGCATACCTGTAGATTCGAACAAATTCACAGATGCAATTAATGGCGCAAAAGGAGTTGCCCGCATACAAACATCCTGAAATCTCACGTGTTTTGAGATTTTGTATCAGTCATTTTACTTCGTGGAAAAAGATCATCGACATCTATCTGCCATATTTCTGAGATTTACTTCTACAGCAAAGTGTTAGCATCGCTTCCACGCAAGATCACCAGAAGCGCAAATCGGTGTTGGCAGTCTGTTGAGTGGCTTTGTGTTCCGCTTCGAGCAGAGAATTCGCCTACACTCAACCGGTGCGGATAATGAGCACACTGAATCCTCATTTGCTACGGATTTGCATTAAGAAATCTTAACTGTAAGAAGTAAATAAAAAACTAACCTCATCCTTGCCAACTGAGCTCCGGCAAGAAGCTGCAACATAGACATCTTTGTCTGGCATTGTGAAGCAATTATCCATACGAGTGCCAAGACAGAAAACATTCGGCTCAGCAGGCGAACAACATCGCAAATGCAGCCGCTCACCTACCACCTCCTTATCACTCTGCAACATACTAAAAGCTACGTTCGATCTGCTGAAAAATGTGTAGTATGCAACATTTAGACCACGAAAAATCGACTCAAGTCCTTTGAAAAGTAAGGATTACCAACCGGTAAGGACTACAGATTCTGAGAGATTGTGTCCGGAAAGATCAAATACAAAGTATCGCAATAAGGCCGCGCGTATCATGGGATTCTCGATAAAAGCAATGCGAGCAAATCTCTTTATAATTTGTTAACACTGAATATTTCTTTAAGCAATCTCAAGCGCCGCTGGTTAAGAAATGCTGTGCTATAAGTGAACAAAAAGCCAGCCAACCACTACTCGAACAAATATTGAAAATTATGATTGTGGCAACATATGCTTGTCTCCCCTTTTTCTTCCCATTTTTCGCTTCATACCTTCTCTCATCCTTCTGTTCAAACTTAACAGTCACCAAATCAATGCTAACCATATTTAGGCACTTCAGTGCATGCAGCACGGCAACAGCAGGCTGAAAATTTGGATCCAGTATAATGGCCGCACGAATATGCCCCAATGCTGTCGCATGCTTCTTTTGTAATATTCGTATTACTCCCATCAAAAAATGCGTCAAAGGCTAAAAATGTCCGGTAAAACTCGTTTAAAGTTGCAAAAAAAAGAACGTTCAACTGACAGCAGATACAATAACATAAAGCAAAAAAAACTTTTTGCAAATGCTCCCCTAGATTTCATTTTGTACCACCATCAATATCTTTATTATCACTCTGAAACGCAGCGATCACCAGCTGTCAGCAAGGTGAGCAATATGTTTACCCCATCGAATTATCTGATTAAATCTCAGTGCTTATAAAATCAAGAAAGGATATTCCAAGCACCCTTCGCTCTACTGCTTTTTCCATCGTATCCAGCGTTATCTCTTCTGTTTTCGTTAGTGACCACGTTTTGCACTCATATGTCAATGCTTTCAACTGAATAATTTCCAGAACGGCCCTCCAGGTTCAAAATTTTAAAAATATCGACAATGCTATGAAGTTTGCACCAAACGGCAGCCCCTCTACGCACAGTCTCTGCCTGAAGTGTCGCATAATCCTTGGATAAGACAAATATAACTTTCAACTTCCTCCAAGCAGGCACACAGTAACCACGGACATACCAGCACTTTCTATCACCTTGTATCACCCTTGCCTTCTATGCCGCCCCAAACATTTTCCTACTTCGAGCGTCAAACCTCTGCAGCACTTTATTCACTTTGTGAGCATCATTCACCGTAAATGTTTCAAGCACTTTTTCAACCCAACTTATAAATTATCAAAATCAAAACAGTTCGTTAAAAGCTCGACCGCCACAAGCTTCTAAGAATCATGCCTCTTTCAATCTGCGTACAGAATAAGGCGAGAAAAAACACTGTCTGTCAACCAGCCGAAAGTCAAATCTATCCACATAATGCATCTCTCCCACACTACGTATCAGCAACAAACAGCATGTTCATCTCCGTCACCGTCATTAGTTTACCACTTCTGTCATTTTTCTTGCTAATGACATATCAGCCAGCGCACCCTCGTTTATCCTCCGCTTATTTAAATTTTGTGTTGTAGCCCCCTCTAGCGGCTGTATATACGTGATGAATGGAACTGATACGAGCTCAGCAAAGAATTCGTCAGGCTTATCGTCATCGTTAGCCATGGCATAGGGGGACAAATCTGAGGGATGTGAAAGATTCCCGACAGATAACAGCAAGAGGAAATACAATTTGCAAGTCCATTTTTTACTGACAAAAAATTCGACTTTACCAATATTCTCCCGTCCTTCCCAGTATCGAACGCAGTGGTTCTAACGCCACTTCACATAACGATGTTGCTCGGTCACTCATCACCTCTAACTCACATTGGAGGAGGCGGTTCTTCATTTCTCCCCTCCTAGGACCAGACCATTCCTTGACGGCATTTTTTGGCCAAGTGAAATTTTTTTCAGTCCCGGCCATCAAACCACCGATTCATCGCGCAAACCGAGTCGGTATTGGAGCCCGTTTGTTATTTTTTCCATCTAATACTGTTCCTCATATTTCGCGCTAAATTTTACGTATTGCGCATAAAAGCATAAAATTTACTGCATTGTCACTTGCAAGTTAGGCTGACAGTGTCTCGCACAGCTCAAACATATCCGGGCAATATGTGGAGCAGCTTTATTAGGATGCTTCAAAATGCCAGACTTTGTATCCTGTCATGCTTCGAGGCCACTTAGTCTGTTGTTCCTATACCGCAATAAAATCTTAGATTGAAAATCTGCAGGTCTCATACTGAACTGAAAGCTCACCTATTCAACGTAACTGAATGAGATTTCCCTGTTCCTACCAAGGCGAACACCTCCGAGATCGAATTTGTTCGATTCCACAGCCAACAAATTAAAAAGCAAATTAGAGGAATCACACTACGCAAACTTAGCCGGACAAACTGCGGAGAACTGCCTCTTCCTGTCACCTCCGACTCTATGTTTCAGTAAGCCGTTCGCACAAAGGGGAGCAAATATTTAGGCCGGAACATGTTGGAGATAACGGCAAACTTAAAAGCAACAGTGTTAATGAGCATGCGAAATTAAAGTGGACACTGTAAATCATACCTCATTGGGATCGAAATGTATAGCAAAGTTGACAAGAACAGCAGCATCGTTTAAAGACTGTTCGGCAATACCCCCGCTTCTTATGAGGATCTGAGCAAGCTGCACCAAAGCAACATCCGGGTATCGATCCGGCTGTAAGCAATAATAAGTACACAATGAATAGCCAGCGCACCAGCTGCTTGTGCGACGATGTGTTTTTTGCACAGTTACCCACAGATTTATGTCGCTAACGGTACTGTTTTTTCTGGCACATGCTTTTAGCTAAAAGAATTGAGAGTGGATGCCGGGACTGTCAGAAAGTATCCCTTCAAAATTTTAGCTTTCTAGCTTTTTTGATTCCCGAATTAGCAACTTACTCGAAAAAAATTTTACGGGCCCGTATGTGGAAACCACGCATACCCAGGGGCTGGGTTTCAGCTCATCATTACCTACATGGATGGGAAACATCTCCTTAAAATTTCAGCTTCCTAGCTTTTTTGGCTCCCGACTTACCAGCTTCCTTGCCAAAAACTTTGGCGGGCTCGCACGTGGGTACCACATGGACAAAAACGCCCGTTTTGGGAAATGAAGCCAGCACGTGCACGTAGATTAAATTCTCAAAGTTTCAGCCCTGTAGCTTTTATAGGTCTTGAGACGAACAGACGCACATACAGACAACCTCTCGTCAATATGCGTTTTTTGCAGCTACGCAATGCAGAAAACGCATATTAACGAGGGGTTGTCTGTGTGTATATGTATGTGTGTGTGTGTGTGTGTGTCTATGTGTCAGTGTGTGCGTCTATCACGGTTTTTCATCTCAAGACCTATAAAAGCTACAGGGCTGAAACTTTGGGGACTTAATCTACAAGGACATACAGACCCCAATCCCCAAAATGGGCGCTCTTACCCGCGTGGTACCCACGTACGGGCCTCTGATATTCTTCTGCAAGTAAGCCGCTAACTCGAGGACCTGAAAACCTGGAAAGCTGAAATTTTAAGGGGATGTCCCCCGTCCATGTTAGTCTCAATTAGCTCAAACCCAGACTCCGGGTATGTGTGGTGCCCACGCATGGACTCGCCAACGTTTTTTTCGGGCAGGTTCCTAATTTGAGAATTTGAAAAGCTAGAAGAAGATTGTAATTTCAAGAGGATATTCCTCCCTCCCCCCCACCTAAGTCTCACTGAGCCCAAACCCAGCCTTCGGGTATGCTTGGTACCCATACACGGAGGCGCCAAAATTTTTTTTGGGTAAGTCACTAACTCGAGAATTTGAAAAGCTAGAAGACTGTAATTTTAAGACGATATTCTCCGTCCACCTAAATCTGACTGAGCTCAAAACCAGCCCTTTTACGAGCATATAAGTAGACAGCAAACAATATCATAAAGTCACAGCCTCTTACAGTTTTTTAATCAGTCTAATTCTCATATTAGCATGGCATGAAATTGAATTTCTAAGTGCCTGTGCGCGAAACACAGGCGTGTGTAAAGGCTGAATTTACACCCTTTACGTCGCACAATAGACAAGGAACATCTTAACGTTTCAACGCTCCAGCTTATCCGGTCTTCAACCAATTCTGCATCAAAATATCTGTCAAATATCGATAAATGAGAACCAGGTGAACATGAACTTTCATTTTATGCCTAGGGACCCAACCACAGTGGAAGATTAAGTTGCCAAAGTTTCAGCCTCATAGCTTTCGCGGGTGCACATATCAAAATACGCGGACAGACTAACATACATACACACACATACACAGACAATCCCTCGATAGTATGTTTTCTTTTGCACTGCATAGATGCAAAAAATGCATAAAAAGACAATCTGCGCACCTAGCGCTTTCTGCTCTCCGCTTTAATTACTATCTGTTTTGCTTGTGTTACTGACTACGAATCGCTTTTGTGCGTCATTGCCTTCAAGATGCACTGAAGATGTAGATGCGATCCTTCCGCTTCGAGAATTTGAGTATACTAACGGTACTGTGAAACTGCGCCAACTTCTCTTCAATCTTCGTCTAGAAACTGCAGGGCGTTCTCGCTTCTTGACCGAAGGGAATCGTTAACTTCGTCCAAGTTACACTGGTTATCTGCAACTTGCCCTCACATGTTCAGGTACGCAACATTATTTTCGATGCTGTTTTTCAGATCCACTTTGTTGCTTCATGCGTTACGCTTCTGCAGCATTTCATTTATCTTCTGATAGCTGCTCTAAATAACGGTAATGTAGCCCTCGAAATGTAAATGGTCAATTGTTCGCCACCGTTGTTCAAACCATCTTTCCAATTCAGCATGTGAATAAATCCGAAACAAGCCATGAAACATCTGACGATAAATGAGAACCTTCGCCTCGCGGCCCTCAGAACAGTAA